ATTAAAAATTCTAGCATAAAATAATACATAAAATGTATTATTAAATAATACATAAAAACTAAAATCCATGATAAAATCCAGTTGGTCATGTAATGAAAATGCAGACCCTTGGCAACTGACTTCCAACTCTGCTATTGTATTGTATTGTATTGTATGCCAGAGGTGGCACATAGAGCCCTGTCTGTGTGCATGTGTGCCCTCACCAGTTGCTCTTTTGGTTTCCAGAGGGCATGTTGATATTGGTCTTCATGGGTACTGGAACACCAGAGAATTGCCTTAAAATGGCTCAAAAAACAGCCTGTTCTTTGGCTGTTTTCAGGCTGATTTTCGGGCCATTTTCAGGCTGCTTTGTAGGGGTTAGGTCAATAGTGGTCTGAAAATGGCTTGAAAAACAGCCAAAAAACAAGCATGTGCATTGGCCAGTTAGTCTTTGTGGGCGCCAGAACATCGGCACGTGCATTCACACACATTCCGGTTTGGCCACTTCGTGCCAAAAAGACTCACCATCATCGATCTATACCATTGCAATCTTCGAGGTTATAAATCAGGTTCATTAGCTTTCCAAGTGTGGGGAAAAATATAATATATTTGAGGAGTACTACTTCCCTTAATTCCCACCTAAGAAAGAACAAAGTAAGAAAGTCTGACATAATTTCAAACCCACAAGCTGCAGCTGAAACCCTTGTGTTGTGATAAACATACTAAGCATCTAAGTCACGGTGGTCAAACCTGATCGTGTCACATGTTGTATCTGTCATGGTTCCAAGTAACAACCCCAATAGGCCTGACAGTATTGTGACTTTTTTTGCCTTTGTGGAGCCAGGGTGGGCGTGGCCTGCATGTGATGCATCCAGCAATCATTTTGACACCCCTGATAAGATGCACCTTTTTCCCCCCAAAAAGAGGGTCAAAAACAGAATGCATCTTATACACTGAATACAGCATTTTTAGCCTCCTGAAACCCCTCCCCTTTGCAAAAATGGCTGTGCATAGCCTTTGGGAGGCTTCCAGAGTGTTCCTGGGGGATGGGGAGGGCAAAAATGAGTGAAAAACCAGCAGTTTTCTTTGCTTATTTTTGCCCCCCCNTTCTCCCAAACCCAGGTGATCCCGTAGCAGCCCACCCCTGGCAATTGCACACACACCCTCAGATAACCTTTGCCAAAGTAACAGGAATCCATTTCTAAATGGGCCGGGTCTTTATCCAGTCTAGCGGTGGGTTAAATATTGCTCCATATCCAGTTTTTTTAATTTGACAAGAGAAACCAATGGCAGGGGTCCCCAGCCTTTTTGATTCTGTGGGCCGGTGGGGGGCAGCCAAAGCTTCAGTGGCAGTGGAAGGGATGTTTTTGTATGCATAATCAAAATCCAATAAAGGTAAAGATAAAGGTTCCTTTGCACATATGTGCTAGTTGTTCCTGACTCTAGAGTGTTGTGCTCATTTCTGTTTCAAAGCCAAAGAACCAGCGCTGTCTAAAGATGTCTCCGTGGTCATGTAGCCAGCATGATTAAATGCCAAAGGCACACAGAAGGCTGTTACCTTCCCACCAAAGGTGGTCCCTATTTTTCCACTTGCATTTTTAGGTGCTTTAAAACTGCTAAGTTGGCAATAGTCTCTCCTATAAATTAACATGACCAAACCTAGACACAGTATGGTGAATGGCATCAGAGCTTTATCCCAAGTTGGAACAATGGCTTACTGTGAACTGGACTTTATGCTCCTCTAAAGGCCCCCTGAGATAGCATTCGGCTTTTTAGCAACTGCATCACATTGGTGCCTCATGTTTGGCTTGTGGTCACCCAAATCCTTTTCATAGCCAAGTAATGCAATGCATGGAAAAAGAAAGAAAGGTGAAGAAACTAAGAATCATTTCATTCCTTCCAATATTTGAGGGGCTGCCACAGAGAGGAGGGGGTCAAGTTATTTCCCAAAGGCCACACAAGAAATAATGGATGGAAACTGACCAAGGAGAGATTCAACCTAGACATAAGGAAGAACTTTCTGACAGTGAGAACAATCAACCAGTGGAACAGAAGTTGCCTTTGGAAGTTGTGGGAGCTTCATCATCACTGGAGGCTTTCAGTAAGAGATTGGACTGCCATTTTACAGAAATGGTATAGGGTCTCCTGCTTGACCAGGGGGTTGGACTAGATGACTATAAGGTCCCTGCCAACTCTGTTAACCTGTTAAACATATATAGTCCTCTTTCGAAACACAAAAAAAAAATCCACGGGCACCCATCAATCAAGGTAATATAACCTTCACTCCCTATCATGGATAGCAGGACTTGTATAATCCTGGGGAAAGATGAGGGAAACAAATGTCTCTTGCTGTGACTTGTGATTCTTGTGAATGCCTTAATTTACATAGTCCATTCTGCAGAAGAGCTTGCACTTCTCCTTTTTCTATAATTGAGGGCCAGGTGACAAGGACAATTCTGCAAAGTGTTGGTTTCAATTATGTTTCATATCATTTTTCTTGGTTTGCTTGCTTGTTTCATTTCAATTTTTTCAACAACATTAGCACGCACAAAAATATGTATGCTTTGCAATTTTATGAACAAAATAAATCAGTAATGTTTTATCTATACCCGTGATGGTGAACCTATGGCACGCATACCTTATTCAATGGTGAAAAGAATAAGGTTCTACATTTAGGCAAGAAATGCACAAGTACAGTATAGGTGGTTCCTTGCTCAATAATAGTAACTGTGAGAGGGATCTTGGAGTCCTAGTGGACAACCATTTAAATAGGAGCCAGCAGTGTGCAACAGCTGCCAAAAAAGCCAACACAATTCTAGGCTGCATAAACAGAGAGATAGAATCAAGGTCACGTGAAGTGTTAATACCACTTTATAATGCCTTGGTAAAGCCACACTTGGAATACTGCATCCAGTTTTGGTTGCCATGTAAAAAAGATGTTGAGACTCTAGAAAGAGTGCAGAGAAGTGCAACAAAGATGATTAGGGGATTGGAGGCTAAAACATAAGAAGAAAGGCTGCAGGAACTGGGCATGTCTATTTATTTATTTCTGTATTTATTTATTTATTCATTCATTCACTCACTCACTCACTCACTCACTCATTCATTCATTCATTCATTCATTC